ACATAATGTTACATCGCACTTTCAAGCTACATGAACCAGAACCAAATAGTGTTTCTTATTGTGAGAAAAGCCTCTCAAGTCGTAGTGCATTAGACTCAAGGAGCCAGTTCCTGGACGCGGTTCGAGCTTCAGATCTGGTCCACCCACAACGTTCCGCGATACTCGAGTGAGAGTGATTTTTTTCATGGACACAAGCAGTCAGGTGCAGGGTAGGTAGTCAAGACGACTCGAGCGAATTAGAACGAGGTGTCTGTGAGATTGGTACAGAAACTGATCGAGTGCTGACCATTTCGAGTTCCTCCTAGAATCTCACAAGCGAGGCTCTCACTTATGCTTAATGTGTTAAATTCGTTGCCACAGCTTTAGTCATTGCCCTGGCCCTTCTTAAAATTTCTCACTTTTTATTATCCCGACACTGTTTTGCTCAGTTTGATTTTAATTCTCCTTTGACGGACTTATTCGGAGAGAAGCTTTTGGCGCAAAATTAACTCATCAACAGCCAAGTTGAATCACCAAATGAAAAAAGACCACCCCATTGAGGCACGAAAACTGATTAATCGCTACAAAGAGAAACTATAATTGAAAGCAGAGAGTAGCGGAGGAGGGTCATAGGTGGACATGTGAACATTTGCCCTGTTGCCCAATTCCAATGTTAGGTCAGAGCGGACGAACACTTCTATCTCGGTGGACTAGATGGTACCAGGTATCGAGAGTGGGAGGAGGAGCAAAACTGATTGTACTTTTCTCAAAACTATTCTGAATAGAAGGCAATTCATGCAGTGGTTCTGGATATGTTTTCATCGCCCACCACGAGAGCAATGTCGAATACCAGGACAACCTCAACAGGAAGAGCCGTTCACTCACGGGTATTCGAAAACACTGGAATTCCATGAGAAATGCAAGGGTGTTTAGATATTGGATGGATTCAGCAGATGTCACCATTGCTTCGGATTTGTGTTCCTTTGTAAATGGCTAGTCCTCGCCACAAGTCTCCTTGTGCCGCAAATGTGCCGATTTTTGGTCAGGAATATCGCCATCGAGAAGGATCGAACCCGCTTTCACATTTGCACGCGTAGTCTGGCATAATAATATTGGCTTAAACAATATGGACATAGATATTTTATGGAATTTGGAAAGAGGAAAGAAAACATTCATGGTAATTTTCTTTATACTTTAAATCACAATTAATCACTAATCAATATCTTAAACAACAGTTTTCCTTCCTTCCCCTTACTGATGAGCACAGAGGAAGGATACTCAATACGTCTAGTTTCCGTCTAAGGGCATGTGCGAAACGGAAACTAGACTACCTTGTTATCCAGACCCCTTATAAATTATACATTTACATTTACAAACTTAATAATTAAAATTAATTAATAAAATAACAAACCTTTTTATAAAATCTGTATTTCTGTTTCTCTAGAATCCGACTTCTCGTTCAATGTTGGTAGTCCGACTCCTTATGAAAGCGCTGGGAATCAGGAATATAATAAACTTGATTCCTAAATCACATGCGTTACTGCAAATTAGTTCGGGACGGTTACTTTTGATTCGATAGGAGGGGTAATATATTGTCTAGTATTCATCTCCCCATCAACAAGGGGATATGTATAAAAACCTGAGCGTGGATTTTTCTGCAGTTGATCATTGCCTGGTCATGACAAATCTCTCTACATATCCATCAGTGTTTAAGAACTTATTAGAACCATTTGATGCGTCGTTAGGTGAGATCATGCATAAGCACTGACTATTATTTCAACTTTGCTTTTGCGGATGCCCAAACATTCCCTTGATCTTGGATTCTACTAGGATTCAATCGAGTGTAACCCAATCTGACTCGGGGCAGGGTCAACCCTACATAGGGACAAGTTCCAACGGTGGGAGGGATGTATTTGTTGAGTTTGTGGCGGAGGGGAGGGGGGTCGTACTTGTTCTGGTAGCACGAAATTACATGTAAAGAGGTGAGAGCTCGACGGTGTTTTTTTTTTGAGGAAGAAGTTGTGAAAGAGGGGTCTAGTATGAAATTTCTCGATGAAGAAGGGGATTCGTTAAAAATTTCAAAAGTCCAACGTAGGGTTGACCTGCTCGCGTCCACCTGATATGAATTCACGTTTTTAGCCTTCCCCGGAGTTTGGTCCGTATCAGCCCATCCACGAGAGTGGATGCTTGACTAGTCGAATCGATCTTGGCTTTTGACGTTAGCACATGCAACAGCAGTGAGCTTCACTTCCGCTACTCATACGTTACATACATATGTAGGCGGGATGTTGCTAGTGTAGGCGGCTGAGGAGAAGGGATTAGTCTCTGAACAGTGTGCGCCTGAGTTAGGAGCAATTTAAGGCATGATAGGGCGAATAGTCTTTATTGACTGATATCAACTGCCTTTTACCACAAGTCTAGGTATGTGCTTTTAATCGATTGTTTCGTTCATCGATTTTGCTAAAGATTCCGCACTTGGACGCTTTTCAAACTTCATTGAGCTTTTTGATTCAGTTTAATGTGCTTAGAGGCTTGTTTGGTGACGATTTTCTGTTATTGGCTAACGTTTCGACTGAATCGTACTTGAAGAAGGAACACCAAGCGCCTCATAAATCTAGCGGTTTCGACAGTCGTTGTTTCGAGTATAACGGCTCGAAAGATCAGAACGTGAGAGAAATAATACCGTTGGTTCCACTTAAGCGGAAAAGGTCAGCTACAACGAGCGCTGATCAGTTAGAACTGAAGAATACCATACTGTCTCCTTATGTCAAAAATAGTCGGGAGACGCACGTAACGCTCTGTCATTCTACAGCTCGCAGTGCGGAATGAACGGCAGTAGATCATTTGTTATTGAAGGACACTCATCGCGGCTGTTCATTCTTGGATTTCTAGTGAATATCCAGAATGCTTCTAATGCCTTCCGCGCGGAAATTTCCGTCTCTTGAGCCAGCAGCGTGCTTCTCTCGAGCCAGCAGCCGTGCACCTTATCTCATATTCATTCCCATTATACTCTCTTCATTCCCATTATACTCCTAAACCTTATGTCTTCCCAAAGGTGTTGTCACAGTACTTTTTACTGACTTCACGTACACAGACTTTTTTCTTAACCGGAAGCGCAAAAAAGAAAAGTCCGGAAGATTCTTGTACGAACAATTGTCTTTATTCGCCGTTCCTTCCCGCTCTACTGAAGAGAAATGCTGATTCTGATCAACCATTACGAAGCCCTTCTGTGAAATTATTCAAGCCGTCTTTTTATAGAGGATCGCTCAATGTGGACGCTCGGACGCGGTTTCAACTGGCTACTAGCACGCCCACCTGAGGACCGGTGGGAGGGCGAGCTCGCTACGCACGCGCACTCCATCACCCTCTGTCCACCATCACGTTCCGCTGCAAACTCCACTCCAATTTACCACTTCACGATTCTCATTCTTCGCATGTATTCATCGTCGTTTCCGACCATATTTCTTTGTTCCCTTCTCGGGAATTCCCGCAAACATCATGTGAATGTCCGAACTTTTTCGACCTTACCGTTTCTACCGCTGCTTTGCAACCGACAAACGTTCATCTAAGAATTTTTGAATACTTCTATTTTTAGATCGACATGGCCGACATGATTCGGCGGTTACTTACCATCACACTGTTGCCGCTATCAGGTAAGATTTACCACCTTCTCCTTCCTCACCCCACTCCTTACCGACCCCAGAGCGCTACTCCTCTTGAACATGGGTCCAGGGCAACGTGCTATCATCGTCCTTCATGGGCACGAAGCATGACGCCGATTCAGGTCATAGCGTAACCACTGCGCAAATAAAAACGGTTGCAGATTTAGCGCGTTCAAGCCGATCATGGCCTTTCAAGTCAGACCTGAATCCCTTTCAATCGCCTCCACCGTTTCCACACACACACGAATGAGGTTACGGCGGAAAGTCGTCTTAAAAACGGCCTCTAGTAGTGCAATTAGTGCTTTAGGTCAACACTGATGAGTGCGACGGAAAAAAGCGCTTTGCGAAACAGCACATTTGTTATGGTGGGAAAGACAGAATCGGAGGGCATTACGTGGCACTACAAAACCAGCGCTAAACGTAGGGTTTCCCTACAAAAGAGCGCGGATATCCTGGGGACGGTACAACCTCATGGCAGACGGAAAGCTACTTGTTCTGCGCAATAGTCTGGTGGAATCCCATTGTCAACATTCCCTGCCTGGATATTCCTAGTATACGCAGAAAAGTTAAATGTCGCGCGTTGAGTGTTTCTCAAATGCGCCAGACATTCTTGTTCCGTCGGTAATTGCAGACGACTCCGCCTGCGGGTTAAGGAAAAGCTTTTCATGTCGGGTAGGCATTCCATTAAGGACCAGAGGTTTCCTGCTAAAGTTCAACGATTTTAGACATCTATGGAAAAGCGCTGAGAAGCACAGTGGAAGCCACGATGTTGACTGCGAAAAACTCGAAAGATAAGAGAAATTCCCAAAGTGTGGTTTTGCTGTCGGCAACATTTTTGACCTTAGCAACCCGACAGAAGAGTTTACTCCAATTTTACACCTCAGCTATTTGTTATTGCAAAACATAACTCTAACATTATTCAAGTCTGCAGGTTGAAATCATAAGCATTAACGAACCAACCAACCAAAATTATTTTAGGCGTAAATAAGGTGCTAAGCATGCAAATATCGCTAGAACGAGAAAAATTTTGGAAACCTCTTAGATTCTTCTGAAATTTTTTTGTAATGAACTTTTAGAGCTTCGCAAACTTTCTGGATAGCTAGTCAGAATAAGGCTCTCGACAGGCAAAGTGTTAGAAGATACGAATGAGCTAAGATAAAACACCATTGAAAACCAAAGTTATAGACTAAAACTACGTCTGTTACCGTTTGAAATGGTTTCTCATTACATTTTCGGCACTATCGCAAGATAAAGGGGCATTATGACAATGCATCTCAATGTGCGTGAAAATCTCCTTTTAGGTGAAAACGCAACTGAGCTTCAGGGGAGGAGGAACGTCATGTTGCGCGAGAAAACTTTCATTTCTTTCCGAGTTCCTGTCCTTCTTTGGGCTCAGTCTCGAAGGATACTACCGTATCTTGCAATAGTGCCCATCCTCTTTTCAGTCTTCTTGAAACATCAGCAAATCGGCTGGCAGTTAGCAAAATCAACAACTAATCACCCTTTGGCGTGGTGTCCAGTCATTTGCGTTCTTTCTTACATTGTGGTTTGGTTGCCTATCAGTGTTCTGCAGTAGTCGATGTCACTCCTGTGCGTCATAAGGTTCCCTGCGCGGTTTCCAAACGTATTATCAGCTGTTGCATTTTATAGAACTACATGCTAGCCCAAATTCTCTACCGTTTAGATCCTCTTTTCCAAACTATTTCCTCCAGAGAAATTTAATGCTATGCGCCTTTTTTTTGAAATTTTTTTTCCACAGGCTTGTCTTCAACCCCGGTACCTCGGCATGATTTCATGGGTGTCTCGGCTTTCACTGGAAAGCCCATCAGCTTGAACGGACGCTTTTCTGTGGAAAGATTGGGGCGCCGCTTCGTTGGCCTCTTGAACTCGATCGTTATGGGTGTCGTCTGGTCTCGATATGAACGAATTGGAACGAAGTCGAATGAGAGCCATCCGTGAGGGAGACGGCTATTGTGGTTTAGGGCGCTGAATTGCAGGTCAATCCCGCGTCCACCTCGTTTTCTCCGCTCTAACAGGGGTGGCCGACGGTCGCGCGGATCCACCCTCATCCACGTCGGCCAGCGTAATGGGTACCGGTAACCGGTGCGTGTCGAGCGAGCTATCGTTTCCACTTATAGAGGCGGCAACCTGGAGCGCCGCTCCCAAGCAAATGCTACGCCTTTCTCGAATCATGATCATGTTGTTCATTCGAGGGAAAGCCTGAAATTCCTCGCTAGAAATTCATCCAAGGAACGACTTAAAGCTCTCTTGCTGGTCGCCGGGTTGCAAATCACAAGGTGTTCAAGTTTGGTTGAGCCGCCAAGTTTTGTCCAAAATGAAACCCTTTCTTCAATTAATGGGAGTCGCAAGGGAATTCATTAAACCCTAACTGATTTCAGTGAATTCGTTATCATGCTACATTTGTGGCGACAACAACCTCGATGAATTCGGTGAATGTTCCACTCAATTTCAGGTGAGAGCTTATATTTTCGAATCAAGGTATCATCAAATTCAAAGTATTTAAAAATTGAAAAATTGGAAATGTAGTATAAAAAATATCTGATAGTAAAAAGCTGCGCTCGAATGCGACTCATAGGTCTCTTGCTTGAAGATAACTCGGAGCAGTGAAAAGCTACCATCCTTTACCTCCTATTCTGAATGGCACCGTCTGTCATGACACTGGAGGATTCCTGAGTAGGAGTGGGGGCCTCGAATATTCAACAGATAAATATAATCCACACTGGCCAATTAAGCACTTTTAAAGTGTCATTGGCTACATTTCGTGATCGGTCTCTTTATATGATCCTTCGCTACCATTCAAAATATCCAGTATGTAGTTTTATACACACAACGTCTTACGGAGACCAATCCTTGGAAAATCAGTCTCCTGTACTCACGGATGCGCACGGAAACAGCTAGCCTACCCTGACTGGTCACGGAAACAGCTAGCCTACCCGACTGGTTTTTGGTTGTTCGAGATCCAACTAAGATTTGACCTTTTCTTATATGCATTTGAAGCGGAATCTTCTGAGTTGAGAATATTTCCAAATCATTGCCAATTTCTTGCCTGATACACGATACCAGGGATGAATACTGGCAATGGATGGTGTGTCAGGTGTACTTTATTGGGTCAGGATGAGGTACAAATGCCAACGGTTTCTCTACCGTAATAATGGTCTACAGCACGCCCGAACAAAGTCCCTACTGAGAAATTCAATTATTCCTTATACCAACGCGTGTTTGGTCAATTGTCACAGGTGTGGGAAATTTGGTACATGACAGGCCCTGTTCCACGAAAATTATAATTAGGTATAGAAATCTTTACATGAAAATCAATGGTTTTTCATAATATTTACAGTACTGCGCGTTTCACGGTCGTTTACAAATTGTTGAAAGAGGTTTGCCCTTTTGGATTTCCATGTTCACGTAATACATGAGGAACCTGTCGTTTTGAATGGCGATCAGTAGTAGAGAGAAGGACGCCGAGTGTTGAGCTACTTTTTCATAGTGAACGAAAATACGGAAGTGGGGCAAAAAGGTGGCTGAGCATAGCGAAAAAAAACTGAATATCCTACAGTAATTTCGTTGCCACCTACTACTTATGAAGTTTTCTTTCGCAGGAAACTAGAGCCATCAACGAGCTGACAACATGATTCTCATGAAAAAGTTTGACAAAATGATCAAAAGCAATTCACTAGTTGAATGGTGGCTCCTTTTCCTTTCCCGATAGGGTCGATTGTAAGGTTAGATAACCTGAATTCGTGTTGTGCGACACGAAGTAGTGCCTTAGAGAACTATCGTGAAAGACAAACAGAGATAAAGAAATTTTATTCACTAATAAAATTAATAAAGAGTGTTGGTTGCGATCGCTGGTACGGAGGCGCGTAGACGGGTCGTAAGTTGGCGGCTCTGGGCGACCCACCGAACACGGGGCCAACGGTCGGGTGCACAGGGACATTGTTTCCTTAGCGTAGCCAAGGCAAACTTGTACGTCGAGCCACTGAGGCTTTGTGACCAGCCTCTTAGGCTCTACTCACTCAGCCACCTAGGCTATCTCTTGCTCTCCTCTATTGAGCATGGACCCTCTACTCACGGGCACTGCAGCTCCTAGAACATGTGCTTACCGCTGACTCCAGAAACAGCCCTTTCATAAATAACATTTTTAAACAACAAACAATTTCGCGCCCGCACCCCTCCCCAGGGGCTCCTAGGACCACCCGCCACCAACAACTGCAGCCTCCTCCTTTATCTACAGGGCTCAGACCAGCTGATCATAGCTGGTTTCTAAAGGCAGGCATGTCTTTTCCTAACACGATAAAGTTCTTTTGCACACTCGGTATTCCTGATATAGATATAGCAAACATCTACGCGTGCATCCTTTGAATAAATAAATGAGTTTCCCAAAATTTCGATTTTCCTTCTAATCTTTATTGCATTTGGGTGGATTTTGTAGGGCGTTGGTTGGATCCATCAATTCAGGTGTCCTAGTTCGCATTTAATGCTGATTTAATTCCTTAAAATGACAACCTGAAAAAATAACTTCCCTGTCTCCAGTGGAATTAAAAAGGTTGTTCGCTGATGAGGTCACATTATTCGCTCTCCACCTTTCATGACTCATTCACGCTGGAAAACTAACTGAAAATTGGAGCACTGCGACCCATTTAAAGACGAAAGTAAAGGATGAAAGGCGAAAGGGCATGACGAATCGGGCAATTATTGCGTGTCGCGAGTTATACAAACGGTGAGTCTTGGCAACTTACCGTACAAACTCCGAGTCGCCACTTCAAGCGACTGCTAAGTCCTTTTTAGGCAAACTCTTATATGTCACAACTGCTGACCACTACTGAATGTGTAGATCCGTTTGACTTCAATTCGACTCTGAGGTTGTTTGAAGTAGCCAATTTGGGGAAAACCTGTGCATTGACTTCACAAACTTGCTAGTCTCTATGTTGTGTAAATCAACAGTAAGACTGATTTGGGCCATCCATTCTAAGACCTGAAATTTGACGCGTTAATCGTAACGCTAACCCTTTTTATGATAACACGCATCTTTTTCTCTTGAAAAAGTCCAGTAATATCTACACCTTTTACAAAGAAAGTTTGTAATAGGTAATTTTCAGAAACGGGTTGCTTCGCCCAAAATACTCTTCGAGTAGCCACGCGGTTTTACCTTCAAAGTGATTTGAGCACACAGGCAACTTATTGAATATTTATTTATTTCTATAGAATCCCCACTGTTATTGATCGGCCGAATCGATGTCCTGACGCGATATTGCCACAGAATATTGAGCCTGATATTGCGAATCCAATCGTGGGCGTTGACCGAGACGAATAGGACTTGAAGCTGGGGCGAAAAGCTGACCACCGTTGAAATCACCCTCTTTTATGCAGCTATCGCGCAGAACAACATAATAAAAAATTTGTGAACTGAGCTACTGTAGCTGTTTTGCTAACAGTTTGGATGCATGGCTAGAGAAAGGGTCTCATTCCTTATCGAATGTCACTAAATCCAAACGAAATTTCCACCCATCCAGAGTCATACAATTGGTTACTTCTGGGATACTGGACTTGGACATGGACTTGTACTTTGGCTAGCTCTGCAAGTCGTTGTATGGGCCAAATCATATGATTATACACGAAAGTTATAAGAAAGTTGAATGCGTGGCAGATGCTGAGAAGGAGTTGAGTGGGCGACTGGTCTTATATCAGATCTACACTGTGGGACAGATCTGATCCTTATACAGTGTGGGCCACAAATAGCATAGTGACAAGAGCGAACTCAAAAACCCAGTTGAGCAACAAGGTCAGCGCTTTCGGGCTGATCATAAGATCTGCCATAATCTTTTACCTGTGATCCTATGGTTTTACGATTTTACTCTCATTATCTCGAATGGCTCCAATTTTCCAAAAAGATCAAAATCTCTAGTCCATTAAAAGGAAGTGTAGTTGTAAGAGCCGGGGTCAGCAATGATCAAAACAGCGCTAGCCCGTTCGGGAATTGAATGGAACCGCGACGCATGCCGGATGTCGAGTGCACGGCGAACCCTGAACGAGTTGAAACAATGCTATGCGCTTCATTTCTCCTTCCCTGCAATGGCGATGTAGGTTTACAGGACTTCAAAGGGTCCTTGGAAGGGACTGTCCAATATGACAGAAAGGAATCCACTACTCAAAACAATGCATGAGTGCGGCGAATTTTCAGCTTTAACATCATAAACATTTAACCGTGAGAGTAAGTTCAAACTCTGCAGCGCACTTCTGCGGTTATAAGAAAGCTAGAACTTGTGAATTTCAAAGCTCTTACTGTTTCTTTCATGAACTGTTTTGCACAAAACTGTTCATGAAAGAAGCTGTGGTAGTTGTAGGAGTGACAACACAACGAAAGAGAACCTCTCGGTGGTGCTCGGACAAATATCCTCAAAGGGGCCATTTTTGACATACTAGATGTTTCTAGTAATTTAACTTATTATAAAAAATAGCTAATTTTCTAGTTTACAGCACCATATTATCATTTTGAAGGGACGTTCGGCATCTGAAAGTGTAAAAACTCACGATCGTTAAAATTTTTCATCGTTATTTTTGCAGGAACCCTCAATAGAGCCATTCTATACGTACTGAACGAATCAAGTCACTTTGATAGCCTTTGAACATAACGAATCTTCTAGTTCACGCTACCTTGTAAAAGTTTTTGGGCTACTGTGATCCAAGAAAGTTATAACTTGCCAAGTGTAAAAATATGCTCTTTTCCAAAATCCCCCTCGTTTATTATCCAGAACAATATTTTTTCATTATTTACAGTGAATTCGGCATGTGATGGTCTTTCTTGTAAAGGTCGACCGATAACGAAGGCTAAAATGTGGTGGAAAATACTTGTTCATGAGAAGAGATCCCAGAAAAGCTTAGAGCGTACGAAAATTGGCCTCAGATTGACCGCTGCGAAAAGTTGTGCTTCACAAGCTGGAATACAAACTTATAGCTACCCGTAGCCCGTAGGCCACCAGCTTCCTCAGATGATCTGAGGAAAAATTGGGTTGGAAAATGTTGAGTGTGGAGTGTGGAGCCCATATGATGGCCGACGAGGAATCTGTTCCTGTTTCTCATATAGTTGATAAAAAAAACTCATCTCGATCTTGGAAAAGGGTAAAAGTGCAAAGTGTAGCTTTCTCACGTATTATTATTTTCTATTTATTATTCCTCCGGTAATACATGATCTCTTACATATGTAGTTGATCTGCTTTGGTTTCAGTATGACTGTAAAAGCTACGCGGCCAGATTTCCACGTGACGAGACGATATTTTGCCGAACAACTCGACATAAAGCGCCCAACAGTAAGCACACTTTGTTTGATATTATATAATTTTCGTGTCTTGTAATTCTCGAGAATCGTAAGTTGCTAATGTACTGGTGGATGGTGAGATGCTGAGGAAGGCGTCCCATGCACAAATGAATTCCTCTCATCGTAAAAAATATGGCTTTTCTTTTCATAGAGCGTAGCGAGCTATTATAAATGGGTTAAATTGTAGATCGAAGCCACATCACCTGTGTATTGATTTCTATTTGTTCGAGCTACTAGCGGAGTTTTCGAATTCGTTTGTTTTTAGATACATACACAGTCATGAAGGAGTGCATATCTGAGCAGGATCACTACCAACTTTTCCCTAACAAGGGATACGCCATGGATGAGGAATGCGACCTTGTCGAAGTACACGGACAAGAGGTACGGTAGCACATCTTCAGTTAAATGTATGTAGCATGACAACAAATTAAGTAATGCCTTTTTAGGTCGCTTACTGCCTTTGCCGTAATCAGAACTTTTGCAACAGGGCGCCAATCGCAGATCAATTTATCGCCTTCGAAGAGGTGCAGTCCGAGTTATTTCTATCTGAAGACCCTTTTGAGAGATGGTCAACTTTTTCAGAAGAATCCGGAGCTGTTTGCTGACCCTGAGCCACCTACGCCAACAGTTCCGAAAGGGCCTGCACCACTTGCACCGCCAGTAGCGATGCAAGCCTCGAACGGATTTGGTGCTCCACCAATACCACCTCCTCCAATTATCCCTATAAATGATCCAAGGGTAAGGAGTAGTTCTGGAGTTACTAACTTAGTAACTAGTTAACCAACAAGTTAGTTACGATTACGCCTTCTGCACCAGCAAGATTTCCACTAGATTGCTTTTTCTCCACAATGGGTCACAAAGCCGAAAAACAAGATGGTGCAACAAGGCAGCTCGCTCAGTGCGTGCCGCCCTCGGAACGCTTCTTGCATGCTGAGACTTTAGGATCATCGTCGGAGGACAAACATTAAGGATCGAATCGATACCAGGCCAGAGTATTTCCAATAACAATTGATTCCGTCCACACAAAATCTTCGTGATTTAGAGGTGTCCGCTTAGCAATTCTTAGTGACTTTAGTGTTTCATCACCACACAAGTCAAAGGATCCGAAATTCGCACGTTTTCTAGGGATATTTTATCTTTCAAGTAGGTCCTCAAATCCAACGAGATGTGAAGCACACGGCGCATCCCAGAGTGGGCCCAGTTGGTTGCGCGCGCTTCAGCTACGGCTATCTTGATAACGAATCTTAATTCAGGAAGAATCAAGAGGGTTCTGAAAGAGTTCATGTTAAATTACAGAGAGGAGTACACTATTCAACAAGGGAACGCAGCCGTCAAAGCTCGTCAATTCACAAGGTGTAACTCTCTCAAAGGTTTGGAGAACCGCTACACTTTTTTGCAGAGAGAATAGCACGAGGATTTTGAATCTGCTCCTACTTCCGTATGTAATCGCTCCTGCAAGGAGCTATAGTCGTTGGGATAGTGCTAATGTAGCGAAAAAGTACCTTTCGGCGGTACTCGGGCAAAAATCTATTTGTAAATAGGTAAGTTATTTAAGGCAGTAAGTTAGTGCCTTTAGAAGAGAGCAAATCTTCTAGTTTATGATGACGTATTAACTTTCCAGATTGCATGAGTTTGAACGGAGTTATGGCTTTGGAAAGCGTAAAAACTCGCACTCATCACGAATTTTCCTCGTTAATTTTGCAGAAATCCTCAACGTGGCCATTTTTTGAGTACTGGACGTATGAAGCTGCTTTAGCGACCGTTTGATAGAGAAAATCTTCTAGTTTTGTATGACGTATCAACTTTTTGAATTTGACGGAAATGAAGCAAGTTTATTGCTCCGGAAAGTGTAAAAACTCGTGCTCGTCTCGAATTTTCCTCGTTATTTGATCTAAATTTGTTATCTCTTATAACTTCCTGTAATTTCAGTACTGATTAGAAAAAGCTCTTCACAAAACTCCCAAATCAGCTTTCAGATTGAAAATTCGTTAACTTTGAAGAAAGTTATAATCATTTGAATATTTGTTCAAATTTCAATAGTAAATAAGCTGCTCCACGGTCAACGCCAAAGTCCAGTCAACACACAGCTGGCGAAGGCTTTTACAAGGCTTCCTTTGAGCGAAAGGGGGACGTGTAAATTGAGAACCATAATCTGTGTAGTACTAGAATTTGGTAAGTCTTGTGGAGGAAATAAACAAAGAAGGAGGTGTTGTCATAGTACGCCATTTCTAGTGACTAGTTTGACGTTTTTTGCTCCGTTTCTCGTTTGCTCGTTTGACAGGACTCGTCATTAATGATCATTCTTTGACTTTTCACTTTTATACTTTTTAAACGAGTTTTTTTGTGGACGATGGGGTAGCAGGGCTTTTTTATGAGCAGTTTTGGTGGAGAATTAAACAACTTTTTCATAGTTCGGCTTTTAAAGAGGGTTGTTTCATGGACTTCGGCCTTCGGCAGAGGGAGGGGGGGGGGTCGTATTTCCGAATTTTCCTCGACGCCTCGCTTGACCCTGGCCGCTGAGCCT